GGCAATGGGAGGTGACTGGGTATGTGACTGCGGGGAGGAGGTGTGTGTCACTTGGGGAGGTGGTGACTATCCTAGAGGTGTGGGCAATGTGGAGGTGCCTGGGTGTCTCTCTGCTTGGAGGAGGTGTGTGGCACTTGGGGAGGTGGTGACTATCCTAGACGTGAAGGCAATGTGGAGGTGACTGGGTGTGTGACTGCAGGGAGGAGGTGTGTGGCACTTGGGGAGGTGATGACTGTCCTAGAGGAGTGGACAGTGGGAGGTGACTGGGTATGTGACTTCGAGGAGGAGGTGTGTGGCACTTGGGGAGTAGTGACTGTCCTAGAGGTGTGGGCAAGGGGAGGTGACTGGATGTGTGACTGCGGGGGGGAGGTGTGTAGCATTTGAGGAGGTGGTAATTGTCCTAGAGGTGTGGGCAATGGGGAGGTGACTGGGTATGTGAGTGCTTGGAGGAGAACTGGCGCTTGAGGAGGTGGTGACTGTCCTAGAGGAGTGGGCAATGGGGAGGTGACTGGGTGTTTGTCTGCATGGAGGAAGTGTGTGGCACTTAGGGAAGTAGGGACTGTCCTAGGGAAGTGGGGACTGTCCTAGAGGAGTGTGCAATGGGGAGGTGACTGGGTGTGTGACTGCCTGGAGGAAGTGTGGCACTTGGGTAGGTGGTGACTGTCCTAAAGGAGGGGACAATGGTGAGGTGACTGGGTTTGTGACTGCGTAGAGGAGGTGTGAGCACTTGGGGAGGTGGTGACTGTCCTAGAGGAGGGGATAATGGGGAGGTGACTGGGTGTGTGACTGCATGAGGTGTGTGGCACTTGGTGAGTTGGGAACTGTTCTAGAGGAGTGGGCAATGGGGATGTGACTGGGTGTGTGATTACATGGAGGAGGTGTGTGGCACTTGGGGAATTGGTGACTCTTCTAGAGGAGTGGGCAATGGGAGGTGACTTGGTGTGTGAGTTCATGGAGGAGGTGTGGCCTTTGGGGAGGTGGTGACTGTCCTAGAGGAGTGGGCAATGGGAGGTGGCTGGGTGTGTGACTGCACGAGTTTTGTGTTGTAATCTAACCAGTTCTTTGTTTTTTGTTTTCCCAGACAGTGGGAATTTTGAAGTCTAATAGGTGGTTTGATTCATGCAGCAGTAGGGTTCTTTCCCCTGTTGTCTCTCTGTGTTCTCCTGCCCCTCTATGTGCCTGTGGTGGTGTGGATTTATTGTCCTTCTAGAGTCTTCAGATGTCTTCAAAATGAGGTGTCTCTTCAGTGCTGCTCCAGTGATACAGTTGCCCACCCTCGCTAGTTCCTGTTGTGGGCCTGGGTGTAGGAAATCTTTGTGACACTCTTCTGGCCACAGCATGTTAGTATTTATTGAGTCGCTGTTGAAGGAACATAGGAAAGAGACGGTCACAGGGATCCTGTGTTGGGCATGACACAGGGTTTCCATCTCAGTTATTTTTCACTTCTTGGGAGGACTCTCTGGAGGATATGGAGGGTATGCTCTAGGAAGTCAATCTTCATTTCTTCCCTTCCTTCCTGTCCATTGCTTCAATGAACTCAGGACCTCCTGCGTAGTAGGCAAGCATTCCTCCACTGAGCTGCACTCTCAGCCCCACTCTTCACCTCCAGTGGCTTGGTGTGCGCACCTTGCAGGGTGGCTATGGGGGCCAGTCCTGGCGGGTACCATTGCAGAAAGCATGTACTGGGTCTCAGTAGGAAAGATAGCCTAAGAGTTGCTGGGACTCAGTAGTGTTCCTGACCTCAGGCTGGGGTGAAGCTTTCCTCAAACTGTCATCTTCATGTGCTGCTGTTGTGTGTCTGTCTGCTTTGTTTTTACTGCTTGGAGTTGGAACGTGCTGAGGCAGTAGGGGTGGAAACCATGACTCGCCCTGGGTGCAGTCTGGTGGAGGCGCGCTGTGCGCATACAGCCACATGGGGGCAGTGTCGCAGTGTCGCAGCCAGTCCTCTGGTTCCTGGGGTGAAGTTTTCCAGAGAACTGTAGTGATGTTTCAGGCAGATGGGGAGAGGCAGTGCTCACTTCAGGAGCAGAGCCAGGGGAATGGGAAGACAGGACAGCATCTGCCTCAGGGAAGTGCAGTTGTAGATTGCTGCTTTTCTGCTTAGAATCCTCAAAATTGCCTTTAGAGTTTAGAATAGTTTCTAGTTTGCAGGAAAAGATCTGAAGATAGTATAGGCCAAGTATCCCTTATCTGAAAGCTAAGGACCACAGATGTTTTGGATTTTGAATTTTTCAGATTTGGGGATATTTGCATAGATAGTGAGATATCTTGAAGCCAGGACCCCAGTCAACATGGAATTCATTCATGTTTTACATAAACATTATACACACAGCCTGAGGGTAAATTTATACAATATTTTTCATAGATTTTGCACAAGAAACAAATTTTCTTGGTGTGGGATTTTTCTGCTTGTGTCATTTTTGTGCTCGGAGTGATTGGATTCTGGGGTTTTGGGTTAGGGATATTCACTCTCAATCTGTACAGAATTCTTTATCCCCCATTTCTTTGTGCCATTGTTAGGTGCCTCCTCATTACAACCAGGGAGCACCCATGGGTGTTTCCCACTATAGACACCCTTGTCTCTATCTGAAATCCTCTTCTGTCTCTAGAGCCCCCTAGCCTGTGATCCTAGACTTTCTGGGCTTCCCCACTCTGATGATGCCTGAGAGTCCTCCCCGGTGCTCTTAACAGCCTCTGGAAGGACTGGCAAGGTTCCTGCTAGAGTCTGTGTCATGTGTTTTTGTGGTTTGCCTGGGGTGTGGTTTGGAAGGCAGCCACACAATGAGGTGCCCTCCTCTCACATCCCATGACTTAGCTTGTACAGCATTTTCTATGGATCATTTGTTAGCAGATTCTGTCGTAGCTGCTTGCTGCTATCACCTGCTCAAAGAGGTTTCCCAGAACCAGGATCAAGTAAGCTCCCAGAACTTTTCCTATCCACAGCACTTGTGCCTGTGGTCATTCATGGTGTCCCCAGAACCAGGCAGGCCAGGCAGCAGGAGGCACAGTGGTGGACGGCTGACTATGTCTTTGCAGGGTCAGTTGCTCCTGGCTGGCTTCCTAGGCAGAGGAGTTCTGGCTTCAGTTGAGGGGATGCAGGCACTGTGCTATACATGACAGAGCCCTGGGGTCCCAGGTCAGGATCTTTGGGGATGCAAGCACTGTGTTCTGCATCAAAGAGCTTTTGGGGGTCTCAGGACAGGTTCCTTGGAGACACAGGCTGTACAATATGCATGACAGAGTTCTTAAGTATCCCAGGATGGGGTCCTGAGGAATGTAAGCATGTGCTGTGCATGAAGTGCTCTTGCGTGACCCGAAGCCTGTTGGAGCTTCTCAGTCCTGGTCCACCGACTTCCTTGGAGACTGCCGTGCCTGATTCTGCCATACTTTTTCATCACTTTGAAAATACAAGTGTCTGTTGGGGTCCCACGAACTGCTGTCTCCTTGTGTTTCAGCTTCCTGTGCTGTCCTTCCCACACGGATGGATGTGCACCTTCACATTTTGTGTTCCTCTGACCCATGTCTCTCAGAGCTTTCCATGTCCCATCCCACATAGCCTGGGTAGAGGGGCATTTCCCCGGGTGCAGATGAGACAAGGCCTGGGCCCAGGGGAAGGTCTGCCCAGATAGCGTGCTGGCAGGTTTCCCTCTGAGCCTATGCAGAGGTACAGCTCTGTGTCGCATCTGCAAGGGAAGTCCCCAGGCTACAGCTGAGCCTTTGATGCATGAGGAGGGGACTTCCTGCCACCTGGTACAGTGCAGAGGCCATTGCTGGGGCCAGTGTCTGTGTTCTCTCTTCCAGCATGACCTCGCTTAGGACTCTCAGGCCTCCTTATTCCAAGAAGGTACAGTTGTCTTTTTTCCCCTTTTTGGCAGAGCCATTTTTACTGTTTTTATTTAACTGAGATTATTAATGACTGAAGAGATAGCAACAGGACCACCATACTTTTCCTCAGATATTTTAAAACACTGCATGACTGAGTCAGCAACCAGCCCTGGAGATGGAGCCTGTGACTTAGCTGAGTCCCAACTGACCCTGCGGCTCAGAGAAAATATCCCCATGCCCTTCATGCACCTGTGGGTAATTAGTTATATCAAGAAGAACACTCCTGCTTCAGCCTTCTGGTTGCTGAAGCAGTCTTGGCTGTTGGAATTCAGTCAGTCAGTATCTCCCTATAGCCTTGGGTGTTGAATGAAAACCCAGCCACATCTCAGCAGCACCAGGGCTCCACTGCCCAGAGCATGTGCTGGAGCTGGGACCCCACATGAAAGGCTCTTAGGAGAGCTCATACCAACCCAGGGCCACCAAGGCTGTGGGCAGAGATGCAAGGACTGTAGAACAGTGCATGGCTCGGTGCAAGCCAGCTGAAGGGGTCTGCACTGCCCTAGACACCTGAGCAGAAAATAGGGGATCCTCTGAGTCTGGGATGGGTTCTTCCTGCAGCCCACCTGGCAGAGCCTTTTCATGCTGCAGTCTTGTCCCCAGCCCTGCTATCCTCTGCTTAAGCTGATGACAACTGTGAGACACATCTTTTGTGTCTGTCCTATCGTCCAACCTCATTAGCTGCCCACCCTGCTAGCTGCTGCAGGGCAGTGCCTGGATGTTTTCTTGCAGAGAAGTGCTAATTAGCAGGGCCCTGAAGCTACTGGGGAGCTTTGCAGATAGCATCTGCAACATTAGCACTTGGCAAATACTCTTCTTTTTTTGTAGTTGTTTAAGAACAGAATAGGAAAGCACCAATCCAAGTGATATATCCTAAAGGTGCTATTTTGTGAGACCTGGCCACTCAGACATGCAGAGTGGTCATTAGTTAATGGCCCTGACTTTCTAGAGTGTGCCTCTCACCTCCCTTGGCTCCACGCCCATGTTCTCGTGCATGCCTGTTCTAACCCCAGCCACATTCATCCTGGTGGGGAAGCCAATTCTGCTCAGTCTGGCACTCTCAGGGGAGGTTACCTTGAAAGATTATTGTAAGAGGTAATGAGACTGGAGGAGATTTTGTGTGTGTGTGTGCTGGAGGTGCCTAGTGTCTTTCCTGGAGAGGACAGTGAAGTGCAGTTTGTTGGAAAGTATTGAGCCTAACCCATTTTGTTCCTGCCTTTCATGCCCAACAAGGCACCCTCTTCCCATGTGCTTTCTTTCCAGTTCTTTTCTGATATGTATAGCAGTGGCTTCCAGGCTGCTGTATCTTGTCTAGCTCAGAGGAAGGCATGAAGGTCACAGGTCCCTCCTGTACCAAAGGAAAGGGCTGCTTAGCCAGCGCTGTTTCCTTCCACTTGGCCAACTGCTCCATATCTGGGGTGGCTTGAACTATGGAGAAGAACAAAGATCGGACTTCAATTGCAGCTCTTATCTGGCCTGTGAAGTGCTGGGGTTGCAGTTGGAGCTATTCTCTAAATAAAGGACAAGTGACACCCCTATGAGCAGCCACCAGGAGCCACACTTCATGGGGACTTTCACACTGTTTATGGCGCACCTCCCTGACTTAGAGATTGCCCAATGTGCAGGTGTTCTGTGAGTCCCGCAGCTCATGGTACCCCAAACCTCAGAGATGCCACATCTTGCCAAGCCCGGCCACAGGGCAGCTCTGACTCACCCTCTACCTCCGCACAACCTTACATGCGGTTTCAGTTGGCTCTGATAGCTGGTCATTTCCTGTGCTCTCTGGAACCACTTGCTCTGTGGAATATCCCAGATGTCCCTGAAGTTTCCTAGTGATGTGTTTTATGTACACTTCACCAGGTTTCAAAGGTTCTTGTGTTTTAGACTCCAAATCATCAGTCTTTACTCAAAGAAAAAAATAAATTGGCCAGGCGCAGTGGTACACACCTGTAATCCCAGCAACTTGGGAGGCTGAGGCAGGAGGATCACAAGTTCAAAGCCAGCCTCAGCAACTTAGCAAGGCTCTAAGCAACTCAGTGAGACCCTGTCTCTAAATAAAATTTAAAAATGGGGCTGGAGATACGGCTCAGTGGTTAAGTGCTTTGGGTTCAATCCCTGGTACCAAAAAAGAAAAATTGATCACTCTTGGATAAATGACCTTTTTTTAGAGATAGTTATAGAATTAGTCCCTGAGTATCTCATGAGTATGATACCAAACAGTGGTCTTGGGTGGGGCGCTCAGCTCAGCAGAGGTGTGGGGATGGATACTTGTAATGTGCTTGGACACGCGCCACCAGGCCAAAGTGCTGGGGCAGTCTTCAGTGTTCCTCTGTAAGGCTCTGAATGTTTGTGTGTGGTTTGTGTCTTCCGAAAGATGTCACCACTGACCTCAGCTTTCCATTCCAGCACCCAGGCTGAGGGGCTGTACCACACAGCGGGAGCTGCCTGAAGGAGGCCAGGAAGGCGGGCAACTGCAGCTGCAGAGGGATCAGCCACTTCTCTCTGAGAGGGAAACCCAGGAGTTGACACAGGTAAAGGCTCCCCAAGTGCCCTGTTAGGCTGGTGGCATTTCTGTCCTCCCTGCAGACTCTTCTTCTCTCTCCTGCCTGAAGACAGGGTCTCTGTTCATTTGCACTGGTTGCTGCTTCTGGGGCCCACTGTTTGTATGTTCCCTTAGTGTTCTCAATCCATGCGCCTCGTGGCATGTAGATTTGCACACCATGCCAGCCTGCTCCTATGCAGACAGTTGCCCTGGCAGCTCTCCACCACTGTGTGTATGAGTGTGTATTGCGTGTGAATCATGCATATGTGCACAGTGCATGTGTGCCGGGCTTGTACATGTGTGTGCACCCTATCGTGTTTGTACAGACACTGTGCACATGTGTGTGCTAGGCATATACTGCACTGTACACATGTGTGGTCCATGCACTCCGGCTTACTCAGGTTTTGTACTTAGCATTGGGTTCTGAAGAAGGCTTACCACTTTTCTCCAGAAATTGAAATTTGAATATTTGATGTAAATACCTTTAAACCTGTCTTCCTACAGTTTTGCTGGACAATGTAGTGGCTTTTTCTTTCTCTGATAGTTTTAGTAGTAGTACCTTGTGGTCATATCACTGAAATATTTATTTCAATATGTATCTTTAAAAGATAAGAGCTGTTAAAAGATAACCATGATACCATTCATATCTTTAAAAATAAATAGAGTTCCTCTGTATCACGACTGCTGAGTTGCTGTCATGTGTCTCAGTCCTCCCGTGACAGTGCATGTCACTTGTGTGCCCAGACCAGGGCCTCTACCTACCTCAGCACTTGGGGGGTGCAGTATATCTCATGGGGGCTGTCCACTTCCATTAGGAGTTAACCTGTGCTTAAAAACAAATTCTCATTTTATTTGTCCACATAGGCACAAACTTTTTTGAGTTCAGCTTTATCCTCTGTGATGCAGGGGAGAAAAGCATTCATCCTTTTTTTTTTTTAAAAAAAAAAAAAAACAGAATTTTTTAATAACTTTTTATTTATTTTTTATGTGGTGCTGAGGATGGAGCCCAGTGCCTCACATGTTGTAGACAAGTGCTGTGCTGCTGAGCCCCAGCCCAGCATTCATCTTTGTTATGGGATACATGACTTATCACTTTTTCCTCCTGGTCTAACTTGGGTCATTTTCAGACATGGCACTCAGACACGCTGTTGCTAGTTGTAACTAGTCCACTCAGCAGGCCACCCCACTGGTCACACTGACAGCTGAACTCACTGGGTAAAGGTCAGATTTGTGTGTTTTGAGAAACTAGTGTGTCAAGGCCTGTGCACCCAAGTTTCCCCCATCATTCTCCTGAGAGCTTATAACAGCATGTGAGCTTTGGGTGGGTAGGGTCTGAGGGTGCTCCCATGCCTACCCCGTCATGGTGTTGTGTCCCACAGTTGTGTTCAGGTTGAAGTAGACCATACTTTGGATGAAAAGAACAGATTTACCTATTAATTCTGATGGTGGCCATGTAGTTTGAGAGGACCCTTCCTGTTTACAAATGTCCCATCTACCAACCTGTCCCATGGACTCCAAAGCAGAGGATGGGATAGGACATATCAGGATGAGTGTGCAGAGGGCTGAGGGCAAGGTGGGGCTCCTAGTGACTGAGCTGGGAACAGTGGAACCCTGTGTCAGAGCCCTTGTTCAGAGCACAAGGTCAGAGATGGAGGGAGAGGGTCAGTGGTCCTGTGGCCCGGCAGGGAGGGCTCAGGGGGAGCTGCAGAAGCAGGGAGGAGGCTGATGAAGTCTGTGTGCTGGTCAGCAGGAAGGCCTGGTTTCATGTGAGATGGTCTTTTGGAGGTGAAACAGATGTTTCAGATTTAGAGAGGAATTCTTAGCTATGTAGTTGGAGCTCATGCATAAGTAGGAATGAGTTAAGTTTCTGGGGTAAACAAAAATGCAGGAAACCATCCTCCATCCAGCTGTGGTTGTGGTTGCAGATGCCATTAAGGCATTACATGGAGACGTGTCCGGAGATTTAAATTGCAGTTAGGGGTACTGTGGGGAGGTGGCCAGGATTCCACAGGGACGGGAATGGGCTTTGTGGGTACCCAGTCTGCAGGCCCCTGAGGTCTATAGCCATCATCTGTCACGTCACTGTGGCCAGGAAGGATGAGCCCAGGAGGCCAGAGGGCAGCCAATCCCATGGTGGGCTTGGCAGAGCCCCTCGACTAGCCGCAGAGTCTGTGCCCCCTCAGAACTGCTGCTGTGCTGGGTTGACAGGATCTGCAGAGGCCACATCATTGATGCAGGGTTTGAAAGTGGTAAAACAAAACGTGGCTCTTGGCTGTCCCCAAAGCAGGGCATTTCAGATTCACAAGAGGTTGCTTCATGTCCGTTTCTCTGTCCTGTCCTATCCTGTGTCTGGAGTTTCTTCATTCCACCTCCTGTTTCACTGGGAAGCAGCAGTGGAAATGGAGAGGGTGGGATCCATGGGGTGCAAGAGCAGCAGGGTGTGTTGAAGGGCTGCATCAGAAGACGAGGCCCTTATGTGTAGCACCCTACATGTCACTGTGATAAGAAAGCACAGGGGCCCCTCAGAGGTGGGGGCACAGGAAGTATCTGGTCATGTCTGAACTCTCATGCTATGTGAGGACACTTTATCTGTCTGCTCTATGTGATATTATCACAGTAAACACAAGACACAAAAAAGAAAACCAGCTTGATTTGCTCAATCTAACAAAAAAAAAAAAGTCTTGTGATTTCAGTGAAGAGCAAAGACAGCTGGTGGGAGGGTTGTGAGGAGGAGAATGTGTGGCCCTGCCAGGCTCGTGCAGGCCCCTGGGCGGCTCCAGACCTGGGAGAACACAGTGTTCCTGTCGTGGTGTTTGCACCTGTGGAAACCCTCTGCATTCTCAGCCCAGCCCCACGTGGGCTTGCCTTAGTAGTTTACTGGAGCTTTCTGGGGTTTTCTACACTGACTGTGGACGATCTTAAGAAATTCGTGTGCTTCTGTCTTTGCATTTTCTTTCCTTTCAAAAAATTATGGAACACATTTAATCATCTTCAGTACCTACCTACCTACTGTGCCTGGTGCCCTGGCTTTAAACTTGCCTCAGTCCTTCTGTGTACACTCCCCGTTGGAGAAACATCACTCAGCTTTTCCTGTATACTTTGTCTATGTCAGATGATCACAGTCGATGGTGTCCCTGAGCCTGAGGTAAACGTAAAGACCAGTGAGTTACGATCCTGGCTTCCATGCACTCACTGTCTGCATAGAGATGACAGCCTGTTTCTCTGCATGACTGCCAGCATAGGCTGCAAAGGAGCCAGTATGTGTCCTAGAAGAAGTCGCACTGCCTCAGGCAGGACAGCCAGGCTGACCTCCAGGGGAGCGGGCTCTGCTCTGCGAGGGTTAGGGTGGAGGAGATGCAGAGTACATGCTGGCACACGGCGGGGTTTGCCTCCTCTCCTCGGCTTCCTCACACTGCCGCAGCTTCGCTCTGAAGGCTTTCCAGACCATCCATTCTTTCCCTCATTACAGGGCATAGCCAGACGTCGGCTTTGGGGGTGAGAAGGGCAGTTAATGTCGTTCTAATGTCTTTGGGGGTGAGAAAGGCAGTTAATGTCTATAGACAGCTTTGATTTCAATCCAGATGTTAGTTGCTGAACTCAGCTACATATCTCAGTCACGAGTTGAGCATCCCTAATCCAGAAATCTGAAGTGATCCCAAATCCAAATCCTTTAGAGCACCAATATGATGATGCCACAGGTAGAAAATTCCATACCTGACCTCACAGGATGGGTCACAATCCAAATGCAGGTATACTAAAAACATTAATAAGATCACCTTCAGGTTCAGTGTATAAGGTATGCATGAAACAGAAACAAATTTTACATTTGGATTTGGGTCCCATCTCCAAGATATCTCATTATAATGTCTATGCAATTATTCTAAAGTTAAAAATGCTTCTGGTCCTGTGCAGGGGAGGACCTACATGTACTTTAATTGTTAAGTGCTCCTGACAACATGGCCTATGACTTCTCTGAATGGCTTTCAAGAATAGCTGTTGGTCTGTTATAGCATGTGTCATTGCTTCATTTTGCTATATAACTTTGGATAGCTACATTTTGCTTATCCATTCATTTGTTGATGGACAGTTGGATTGTTTCCAACTTTTGGTTACTGTGAATAGTGCTATGTGAATATTCACATATAAGAAGCAATTAGGTCCTGACTTCCAGCTCTCCTGGGTGTAGAAGTGAGATCCCTGGCTCACATGGTAACTCTAGGCTTAGCTTTTTGGTGAACCACTGTACTTCACAACAGCTGCAACACTTTGCCTTGCTAACAGCAGTATATGAGAATTCCAGTTTTGTACATCCTCACCAACACTTACTTTAATTTTAAAAAAAAAAAAAAAGCCATCCTTGTAGGTATAAAATGGTATCTCATTGTGGTTTGCTTGTTTGTTTGATTCTTGTTTGGGGCACTGGGGATTGAACCCAGAGGTGCTCTATCACTGAGCTACGTCCTCAGCTGTTTTCATTTTATTTTGAGACGGAGTCTTTCCAAGTTGCAGAGGCTGGCCTGGAACTTGTGATCCTCTTGCCTCAGCCTCCTGAGGTGTGTGCCGTCGCCACTCCCAGCACTATTCTATTAAAGTTTTAGTTTATAAAGGGTGCGGATAGGAGCAGCCAAATGAAGAGACACAGTGAGGTTCCAGGGGATCCCAAGTGTGGAGCCTCTGTGCCGTCTCCCATGGAGCCAGCACATCACCCTCCAGTCACATCAGCGTGGCACCAACCAAGACGCTCCATTGGGCTTCAAAGCCCAGAATCTTTACTGGGACTTCATTGTGGGGCATCATTGATTGAATCATCAGTTCCATGCCTGAACTGAATCCCTAGCCCCCATCCTTTCCAGGAGATAGGACTGGGATCAGGTGGCCCACAGCCCCTATCTCCAGTCACCTGGCTGGTCTTTCCAGCTCTTCCTGTGTTTATGTCATTGCGTTTGCATAAACTCAGGTTTTGTCCCAGTACTCTGGATAACAGTCCCA